GCAAGGAAATTGAAGCAGTCATCAAAAACCTCCCAAGACACAAAAGTCCAGGGCCAGATGGCTTCTCAGGGAAATTCTATCAAGCGTTTAAAGAAGAAATAATACCTGTTCAACTAAAGCTGTTCTGAAAGATTGAAAGGAACTGAATACTTCCAAACTCGTTTTATGAGACCAGCATCACCTTGATTCCAAAACCAAAGACCCCACCAAAAAGGAGAATTATAGACCAGTATCCCTGATGAACACGGATGCAAAAATTCTCATAAGATACTAGCCAATAGGATCCAACAGTACATTAAGAAGATTATTCACCATGACCAAGTGGGATTTATCCCTGGGATGCAAGGGTGGTTCAACACTTGTAAAACATTCAACGTGATAGATCACATCAACAAGAAAAAAGAACCATATGATCCTTTCAATAGATGCAGAGAAAGAGACACTTGGGTGGCTCAGCAGTTAAGCGTCTGCCTTTGGCTCAGGGCATGATCCTGGAGTGCCAGGATCGAGTCCCACATTGGGCTTCCTGCATGGAGCCTGCTTCTCCCCTCTGCCTATGTGTCTGTGCATCTCTCTCTCTCTCTCTCTCAATGAGTAAATGAATGAATAAATAAATCTTTTTTTTTAAAAGATAAATGCAGAGGAAGCATTTGACAAAATACAGCATCTGTTCCTGATCAAAACTCTTTTAGAGTGAAGGGATGGATAGAGGGAACATTCCTCAGTGTCTTAAGAGCCATCTATGAAAAGCCCACAGCAAATATCATCCTTAATGGGGAAAAGCTGAGAGCCTTTCCCCTAATATCATGAATGTTAACACTCTCATCACATTCAGCATAGTCCTAGAAGTCCTAGCCTCAGCAATCAGACAACAAAAAGAAATAAAAAGCATTCAGATTGGCAAAGAGGAAGTCAAACTCTTCCCTCTTCACAGATGACATGATAGTGTACATAGAAAACCCAAAAGACTACACCCCAAGATTTCTAGAACTTATACAGCAATTCGGCAGTGTGGCAGGATACAAAATCAATGCCCAGAAATCAGTGGCATTTCTATACACTAACAGACTGAAGAAAGAGAAATTAAGGAATCAATCTCATTTACAGTTGCACTCAAAAGCATAAGATACCGGGGATCCCTGGGTGGCTCAGCGGTTTGGCGCCTGCCTTTGGCCCAGGTCGCGATCCTGGAGTCCCGGGATTGAATCCCGCGTTGGGCTCCCAACATGGAGCCTGCTTCTCCCTCTGCCTGTGTCTCTGCCTCTCTCTCTCTCTATCATAAATAAATAAATAAATCTTAAAAAAAAAAAAAAGCATAAGATACCTAGGAATAAACCTAACCAAAGAGGTAAAGGATCTATACCCTAAAAACTACAGAACACTTCTGAAAGACATTGACGGAGACACAAAGAGATGGAAAAATATTCCATGCTCATGGATTGGAAGAATTAATATTGTGAAAATGTCTATGCCACAGGGCAATTTACACGTTCAGTGTAATCCCTATCAAAATACCATGGACTTTCTTCACAGTGTTGGAACAAATAATCTTAAAATTTGTGTGAAATCAGACAAAACCCTGAATAGCCAGGGGAATATTGAAAAAGAAAACCAAAGCAGGGGCATCACAATGCCGGATTTCAAGCTGTATTACAAAGCTGTGATCATCAAGACAGTGTGGTACTGGCACAAAAACAGACACATAGATCAATGGAACAGAATAGAGAATCCAGAAATGGGCCCTCAACTCTATGGCCAACTAATATTCGACAAAGCAGGAAAGACGATCCACTGGAAAAGGACAATCTCTTCAATAAATCATTCTGGGTAAACTGGACAGCCACATGCAGAAGAATGAAACTAGACCATTCTCTTATACCACACACAAAGATAAACTCAAAATGGATGAAAGATCTAAATGTGAGACAAGAATCCATCAAAATCCTAGAGGAGAACACAGGCAACACCCTTTTTGAACTTGGACACAGCAACTTCTTGCAAGATACATTTGAAGGCAAGGGAAACAAAAGCAAAAATGAAATACTGGGACTTAATCAGGATAAAAAGCTTCTGCACAGCAAAAGAAACAGTCAACAAAATTGAAAGATAACCTACAGAATGGGAGAAGATAATTGCAAATGACATGTCAGATAAAGGGCTAGTATCTGAGATCTATAAAGAATTTATTAAACTCAACACCCAAGAAACAATCCAATCATGTAATGAGCAAAAACATGAATAGAAATTTCACCAAGGAAGACACACACATGGACAACGAGCACATTCCGCACTTGTCATCAGGGAAATACAAATCAAAACTACAATGAGATACCACCTCACACCAGTGAGAATGGCAAAAATTAACAAGACAGGAAACAACAAATGTTGGAGAGGATGTGGAGAAGGGGGAACCCTCCTGCGCTGTTGGTAGGAATGTGAACTGGTACAGCCTCTCTGGAAAACTGTGTCGAGGTTCCTCAAGGAGTTACAAATAGAGCTACCCTACGGCCCAGCAACTGTACTACAGGGTATTTACCCCAAAGATAGAGATACAGTGAAATGCCGGGACACCTGCACCCCAATGTTTATAGCAGCAATGTCCATAGTAGCCAAACTGTGGAAGAAGCCTCGATGTCCTTCAACAGATGAATGAATAAAGATGTGGTATATATCTACAATGGAATATTAGCCATTAGAAGGGATGAATCCCCACCATTTACTTTGACATGAATGGAACTGGAGGGTATTATGCTGAGTGAAGTAAGTCAATTGGAGGACAATCATCCTATGGTTTCACTCATACGGGGAATATAACATATAGTGAAAGGGATTATAAGGGAAAGGAGGAAAAATGGGAAAAATTAGAGGGAGACAGAACATGAGAGCTTCCTGACTCTGGGAAATGAACAACGGGTAGTGGAAAGGGAGGTAGATGGGGGTTGGAGTAACATCCTGGGTGACAGGCACTGAGGATGCCACTTGACAGGATGAGCACTGGGTATTACACTATATGTTGGCAAATTTCAATAAAAGAAAAAAGAAAGAAAAAAAATTCCTGAGGATTCCTTGTCATGTAGAGAGGAAGAGGAGATTCATGCCCTATTTGGAATTATAAGACAAGTTCTCTTACCTGTCATAACTGAAAGCCATAATCATCTGAATTATTAGAATGGTCTCAGCCTAATTTGAAAGTTTTTATTGCTCAACTTTATCATTAAAGCCATTTTATAAGTTACATCTCATTGGTTTTTATAATAGTTATATAAATTATGTAACTCTAATCACAAAACAACTATGAACACGTTGGGAAGAAACAAAGTACTTTTGTTAAAAACAAAACCCATCTGGTGGGAGAAGAACTAGCCCTGTGTGTATAGCAGACCCCCGGGCATGTCTAAGAAAAGGAGCAGAGAGTGTTGCTGAGTCCTGCAAGGCAATTCAGACAGCTGGTACCACAGACTGATTATTAAAAGGATCAATAAGCTAGTTTTTCAGTATCACTAATGTTTTTATCGTAATGCAATAAAATTTTACAGAATAGTTGAGTTAAACATCATTCTTAATTTAGTTGCTGATGACCTTGAAGAAGAATCAGATTTCTAAACATTTCTGTAGAATGGTGTACACTTTTGTTTTAAAAATATGATTCTAGGGATCCCTGGGTGGCGCAGCGGTTTGGCGCCTGCCTTTGGCCCAGGGCGCGAACCTGGAGACCCGGGATCGAGTCCCACGTCAGGCTCCCGGTGCATGGAGCCTGCTTCTCCCTCTGCCTGTGTCTCTGCCCCTCTCTCTCTCTCTCTCTCTCTGTATGACTATCGTAAATAAATAAATAAATAAATAAATAAATAAATAAATAAATAAATAAATATTTAAGAATATGATTCTAAGTATTTGTGTTCATGTGACAGGTGAAGAAAATAGACGTTTTATTTGTTTTTACTGAGATTTAGTAATAGAAGAACATTTGAATATAGTTTGAACATGTTTGTTTTTTTAACATTTTCAGAAGTCATGCAGACATAAATTTGAGCTTGCAGGAAGAAATGAAGTTAGTGGAATGAGTCTAACCAAGTTAGCCATTTTCATTTAATAAATTAGTAGAAGTATCAAAATTTCATTCCTAACTTTTTGTGGGTTAAGGCAGTAATTAATATGAAAAACCACTTGAGAATTTCTAAACATAATAATAAAGCAGAGACTTTAATATACTGAACTTTGTGTGACAGTGATTTCTTCCAACATTTGAATGTGCTATTACATTCAACATTGTAAGAGCTATATACTCTAGGAGATATGCTTCAAAAGAAAGTAGCTCATAGGTACAATGTTCCTGTTGGCATTTGTTCATGATAAATGTTTGCAGTTACGATATTCTCAAGTAGCAGTCTTAAAATGATGAGTTCACTCTCGTGGGAGTTTAATTTTTAGGTCAAAAAAAGTAATATGCATATTTTGATTCTTTGAGTTTTCAAGTTAAATGAGAAAGAAAAAATGCACATAGAAATATCTTAACTATCCACATAAATGAGTTCTTGATTTGCTATTGCTTTCTCTACTTACTCCTTCATTTAGATTAGACTTAGAAGAGGGGACAAGCCAGGAAGCAAATGGGAAACTGGGAGGGGTGAGGTGTGTAAGAATGTCTAAGAAACGAATTTAGAAGTATCAAGCAGTAGTAGATGGTTGTGTTTTGATTTTTCAAATTTTGTTTCATTAATAAACTGTATATTTATCTGAAATATACAAATCTTCCTTTGCATTTCACATGAGATTGAAAACCTATGCTTTAGATTATCTTTGATTTTAACTTTGGTATGATTTCTAAAATACGGTATTTTCTGAAAATTCTTATTACATCTTAAATCGGCATCTGATAAATATGTTTAAAAAAGAAAACTGAAAATCTTAGTATTTAAAATTACCCAAAATGTTTAGAAACTTAATAGTTTGAGTTAGTGTATTTTAAAAATGAACACCATGCTTGGTTCTCTTTATTTTAGAATCCAGCAAGCTAAAGTGCAAATTCTTCCTGAATGTGTGTTGCCTTCAACCATGTCTGCAGTTCAGTTAGAATCCCTCAATAAATGCCAGATATTTCCTTCAAAACCTGTCTCATGGGAAGACCAGTATTCATGTAAATGGTGGCAGAAATACCAGAAGGTGAGAAACTGATTTTTTATGCATCTTCAAAATATGAAGACAGGTTGCTTTTTTACTGTATTTAAGAAAGGCATATAAACAACACTCGTGCTTCATTCCCCAGACACCTTCTGTGGTAATACTCTAGCTGCATTTGATCAAAGCTAGAGCTTCTGAAAATTTCATGGGCAGCTACTTATGTAAAACAGTGCAGAAATAGTAAAATGTCACAGTCCTTAAGGTGTTCTTGCTATTACGCCTGTCAGTTGTGTATTAGTTAATAGCTTGTAATCTTAGTTCTGGAGGAGTCTCTTAATAAATTTCTTACAATCAGATCAGGTGTTTGGCTCTTGAATCATAAATACATTACCTTAAAGAGGAGTTTCAAGTAGCACATAGTAGTAGTGTGTTTCAGTTCTTCTGGACTTCTGAAAGAAAAGCTTTTTAGCTATCTTTTCATACAATATGGGTTGACACCACAAAAAATGGCTGTTTGGACATTAATTCTTACACATATCCTTCTGGTGAGATCACTATTAGAGAAAAATTGATGAAGCCTGTTTCTGCTCATTTTTGAGATGTATCAGTTTTGAGTATAAAATAGCTAATATTTATGATTTCTGCCTAAAGGAAATGATTACCAGTTTTTAAATTTAGGAAAAATAGCTCTTTGAGGTTTATCTTCTTAAAACATGGAGATGATTTCTATTTTAGCCTGAAAAATCATCCATTAATCAGCCATATTCTTTGTCAAGTAGTGCAGGTTTTAATTTTGAGTAAATTAGCATAGGATCCTAATTTGATATAGATAGTTGATACAGGAGTCTTATACACTAATCAGCGTACTACCACTTTTAATGTTCTTGAGGTAGAATTCATCCAGTTTTCAGAGAGGACTTTGTGAGGATGGTTGCTTGGGGGGCAGTAGGCTCATAACCAGGTGTCTATAGGTTTCTTGCTTTTGTTAATATGTATCTCAGGTGGACAATTTGAGGCATGGTTTTGTGTGTTTTAACAAGTGTTTCTAAGAAGAATCTAATAAAGTTAGATTGCTTAAGGATTCCCATGCAACCTTGACTAATATTTTTGAAGGTTTTACAGATAATGCCATAAGTTTGCAGGCAACTTTTGTATAGCTAGGCAGTCCTTTTTTCAAACCTGATACAAACACTTTAAATATATTTTTACCCTTATCTTAGTTTAGTGGTAGAACAGTGGAAGATTTTGTTGTCTTGGTCATTTTAAATCTCAGTATTGAAATAAGTATGTCAGAGTCAGCTCTGGGGTACGTGGGCTCCAAGGGAGTGGCTTTGGAGTTACTAAGTCATATAATGCCTAATAGTGTGTTCAGCACCAGTTGGTACCAGGATGTTATGGGGCAAGGAAACTGCATCAAGATACTGCCTGTTTATCGTCCCAGTATTTAGACAGTTGTGTATTTCAACTATGCAGTTTTTTTTTAGGGGATACTAAGTATTTTGGTTTATATCATTCTTCTGCACTAAAATTGGTTGTTAAAAATCAACCATTAAAAAATCCTAATTTAACTCTGCTTCATAAAGCGGTAAGCATAGGGTGAGAGTGACTGTAGTTCATTCCTGCCTTAAATACCGTGTTGGTGGTGGGTCCTGTCTTTGGGATCTTGCTCTCTCAAACCTGGACATGATGAGTTACACAAATAAGACTGCTTTTTTTTTTTCCACTCTAATTTTTGTGTGAATTACCGATTGAATTCTTCCTGTTCTGTGGCTGAAGCACCTTTGCTTGTTCGCAGCAAATTCCGACTTAGGCCTTTGCAACACGGCTGTTGCTGGCTTACCACAAGCAAGGAGAGCCAGACATGGAAAGACCAAGGAAGCACATGTTTTCTTGGAACCAGGTCCTTTCCCCTGCTGTCCTACTTCCCCGTAGTCGTAGAAGTAAATTCTAAACTCTCAAACAGTAGCACTGAGTTACTTCCATATTCAGTCACCAAGGACTAAACAGAAGGTTCTAAGGAAGAAGCATAAAAGGTTTTAGAAAATACAATCCTTTTATCCCATTTATTTTTCAGATTGTTAAATGCATTCCCTTGCTTAAAATTTGAGTAAAGTTTGTTAGGTCCTGAGATTTGGGTTTAGATTACTAGGCCAAGAAAAACTGCTAGCTGATCTATTTTGGACTGCAGATGACCTACAAACTCTGTTCTACTTTAGAAAGAGGGCTCTGAGCCATGCACAAAGTGAAGGGAAAGGGGACAGTTGATGGCCATCCCTGGTGGGGGCTCCCTGTGCATTAGAACTGTTTCAGTGGTTTGGCTTTCTGTGCCTCTTACCATAGGACTGGGTTATATAACCCACTTGTCTTTAGATGGACCTAAGGCTCAGTTCACTCCTCTATTTGTAGAGTTCATTCACATCTGCCTTGTACTTCCCGCCAGGATCTGAAGCAGCGCATCTGTTCGTCTCTAGGTCTGAGAGAGGTAGTTAGATAGTCAGAATTGGGAGATGCTTCCATGATTCTAAGCCAACCCAAGTGTATCAGGTTACCCCACACTTTTCAGCATAAATGATTCTTAAGGGGATCCTCAGGTGGCTCAGCGGTTTAGCGCCTGCCTTTGGCCCAGGGCGCGATCCTGGAGTCCTGGGATCGAGTTCCGCGTCGGGCTCCCAGCGTGGAGCCTGCCTCTCTCTCTCTCTCTCTCTCTCTCTCTCTCTCTCTCTCTTTCTCTATGTCTATCATGAATAAATAAATAAGTCTTTAAAAAAAATGATTCTTAAGGCATCCAGGCATGTAGCCTTCCTGAGGTGTATTCAGTTAACCTTGAAACTGCACACACTTCTCTCTTCACATTTCCCATTGAGAACTGCATATTCCAAATGACATAAAATGAGGCTTCCACAAGTATTCCTGTGTCATCTTCCATTCTGACATGGGATGACAGGGATGCATCAAAGAAGATGTCCCTAATCACTAAGGAGTTAGGCCAGTATAATCAGGAAACTCTTCCAAAACTCACTTCCATCTGGAAATGTTCCTTACTTTGTGATTCCATCTTTGAAACTAGTATTTACTTCTTTTCTTTCCTATCACAGTGTCTTTCACTCCTCACTGGGTTTACTGTAGTGGGGTTCTCACAGTGAGGAAACTTTTCTTTAACCTATTTGGGAGTATGACAAACATTTTTAAATGCACTCCCTCCTTACCCAGGGCATCTCTTCATTCCTTTATACAGCCCTACAGTGTTCATCAGAAAAGAGTTGAATATGAAATCTAAAAAAAAAAAAAAAAAAAGACATGTGAAAACAAATTAAGGAAGTGATTGATGCTTATCTTTATCTTTCCAGTCTCACTAAATTTATAAGCCACGCTCCTATAGAGCAGGGAAGAACTGAACACTGATTCTCCAGTGTGGGCTCACGTGCTAGTTTCTAAGTCTGCCAGAGTTTCTAAGTCTGCCAGTTTCTCTATGAAGATGCAAATGCTCCCATTTCATTCAGTTTTCTTATGTAAAAGGATACATACTATCCTGGACCTTATTCTCTCTTATAGGAGATTCTTCTGTATCGGCTTTTGGAGCACTGCTTCCTTGTTGATGAAGCAGCACGGTGTTCTCTTGTATGGCTGCACTATAATTTATATAACCAACTCCCTGTGGATGATGGTATACAAATGACCTTTCATACACTTCAGTGTATATGATAAATTTTGATAAGTGGGATTATTGGATGAAAGGAAAACTGCATTTGTAATTTGGACAGATATTTTCAGAGTGCCTCCCTCATGAGGTTGTTCCTGAATATACCCTGATATCAGCTTCACAGACAATGTAGTGTCCAACTTAATTTTTGCTGATCTGATACATAAAGTACAGAGTCTTTTTGGAGGTTTAATTTGAATTTCTTTGGATATGAATGAAGGGTAACATTTTGTGTTGAGTAGCAATTTGTATTTCCTTTATTAGGAAGTATGTGTTCATAGTACTTGCCCTTTGTAGAATTTTAGGAGTTCTTCATACATTAGGAAACTTATCCCTTTATCTGTAATTATTAGGTTCCAAACATTCTTCCTGGTTTGTGATTTGTCTTTTGACCTTTGGCGTCCTGTGGAAAGGGTTTTTTTTTCCCCTAAGTAGTTGAATGTACCCTTTTTTGTTAATGCTTCTCTATCTGAATTATAACTAGAAGGGACTTCTCTGTGCAGAGGAACCTTTTAAAAAAAAATTAAAAATGTAATCTTTTATTTTTGATTGTTGAAACAAAATAAAAACTTTGAAGGTTTTTATCCACATGGTTTTTTCCGGTATGAATTCAACTCTTTTTTCCCAGATGGCTCCCCAATGTCCTGTTAGCATTTTCTGCAAAGCACGTATTTCCTTTCACTGATACAACCAGATACCCTATAGACCAAATTCATGATTTGTTTTCTTCTGCTTTGTTGTCAGTCTATTTGTGTGCCTTCACAATACTGTTAGGACTGTAGACAATTTATAATTTTTGTGACTAAAAATATGACCGGTAACCCCCTTACTAGTGTTCTTTTTCAAGGTTTTTGTGGCTACTCTTGTTTTACCTTTCCATAGGAACTTCAAAACCTGTTTTTGTCTTTTCCCGGAATATTATTAATAGGAGCACTAAAACAATAACATTTGTTGCCCATTTTTATATTAAAGAAGAAAAAAGTCTTGAAGCTTAGGCCATGTGTAGTCAGGGACTTCCGCAGACAGAACTGTGATTTCCCAGCATACATCTTATCCTTGTAGTTATATGTATCTGCCATGATTTTAGAATAGTGAGAGCAGAAAAGAGAGTGCAGAGTGTCATTCCATTCCACTTTTTTATAAGTAGTAATGTGGTAAATGAAGGAATGAAACAAAAACTAGTAGCTTTTGAATTACTTATTTTTATTATTTACATTGCTGATTGTGGTGGGATTTAATACAATAAATGACCACCTTTGGTTACCGTGTATATCAGTGGTGATGATTTACTATTCAAGTTTAGCCTTTTGCATTACTCTTCCAATTTCATTGCACTTCAAAGAGCCATTTAAGTGGAGTTTCACTTTTTTTTTTTTTTTTTAACATTCCACATTGTTGAAAGGCAAAGCTGGAGCTATAGTTATGAGGCTTAAAAATGGAAGAATGTGATGGATTACACTTCAGGTAACAGAAATTTCATTTTAAGGGCCTTTCTGCCTGTTTTCAATAGTAAATCCTATTCCCAGAGTGAATATTTCTTTGCTAGAGAATCATTCATTGGTCACTTTTAAGCACTTAACTTTTGGGCTAGTATTAAAAATTTTTTGGAGGTAGAGCCCTTTTATGAAGTAAGTTGTGGACTGATATATGTGAAGAATGCCTGTAAGATGCTAGAACACCATCACTATTACCCAGATAGAAGACAGGAGCCTCTGCTATTGTGCCAAAAATCTGAATTGGACTTTTAAATTTGAGATATTGAAACGCTTAAGTTTGGGCATTTGCCCTGTAAAAGCTAGTCAATTTTTTCAGTTTGTATAATTGACTGTATAAAGCACATTACAAATATTAAGGATAAATATACTTAATGATTTGTAAATAGAACTTTAGAATCTGTCAAGATAATCCTGATAAAGAATTGTTATTGGCCTTCTCACTTTAAAAAGTTTCAGAACTGAGACACTGGAGTTGCAGCTTAGTCACATTCACAATGCATGTGTGGGCAGCAGGGCACAGGGTTAACCATCCTGGCCATCCTGACACTCTGCACTGCTCTTAGTATACTAGTGCGTCACATTCTGTTCTCTTTATATTATGGGGAGGAATGTTTATATTTGAATAAATTGGTGGTTTCTCTTTATCTCGACCTGCGTGCCAAATAAAATTATATGCTTTTATATTATAAAAATGATCATTCTCACATCATTCTAAGTGTATATTAATAACTGAATTGGGAGTGTGTAGTGTTTGTCAGCCAAACTGAAGCTTCTTTGTATTATTGTCATTTTGTAAATCTAAGTATATACCACTAGAAGTGAGCTTCTCTGCACTAGAGTGTATGCTCCACAGGACAATGGTTTTAGTCTTTGTTTTAATCACTGGTATGCCCCAAATGCATAAAGATAATGCCTGACACATACTGGTTGCTCAAAATATTTTTTTGAATATTCAAATAACGGTTAGAGTCAGACTCTGCATGCACAGCCTAGCAACTTCCCACTTGCGAACTGTGACCTTAGGCAAGTTTTACCATCCTTCTGTGCCTGTTTCCTTATCTTTAGAACAGGATGATAATGCTACCAAACAATTTTTGTAAGATAGGTACAGTGGTCTACATTGCTATTACTGAATAGTCAGGGTTACCTGATAGATTGCTTTAGCATTTTTTTTATTCTGTGTTTATTCTGTAGCATTTATTTGTGACGAAAATCCTTAAACTTAAGTTTTTGTCTTAAATGTAAATACTGGAGAGTAACTTAAGTGTCTTATGTTCTGGCTCCTCTGGCTTAAATCACTTTTCAAACATTTACGTGGAGGCCATCCCAGACTCAAATATGAGAATTATATCGAACCAAAAATTCTTCTCACCAAAGAATCCATTCATTGGTTTGAGCTTCCATTCATGAGCCTTGAAAAACAAATCGATCTTCATCCATGTAGTAGCTCCCTAAAATATTTAAAAATAATTACCATGACCCCTTGAGAGGCAGCTCCAAACCAAACATCCCTAAAGCAAACTCTTGATCTCCTCTTAGCACCCTGGCCCCTGACAATCGAAGTTCCCATTTCTGTCACAGATGGAGAACATCATTGTCCCATCTTAGATTCTGGAGGTCTTCAAGCATTAAGATTGCAGGAAGTGTAGGATGTGAGCTCTGCAGGACATTGGTAAGACTGTAACTGTCAACCAAGTCCCCCAAATCTTTCCTACATGTGTCTTGTATTCATGTTTCCCCATCTCATACCTATTGACTTGGTCTTGTATGTGCAAGCATAGGATTTCCCTTCCATTTTGTTAAATCTTATAGCTTACTTAAGAGTTCTACACTGGGACAGTCCATTTTGAGCCACCTTTCCCCCTTTCCCACCCACTTTTCATGTGTCCTGTCCGATGTCAAGTAACAGTTTACAAAATTATGAGTGTATATATGTAGGTTTTTCTTTATCGGGAAAGATGTAATCACATTCTTTATAGGTTTGATATGCCTTGTTTGCTCAGTTGGAGCATATCCTCCCCCATATACATACACAACAATGTATTTATTGTTCCTTGACATTTAGGTTGTTTCCATTTTGTTGCTGTGAACAGCATTATTGCAATATATTCTCTCAATCATATTTTTGTGTCCTATAGAGAACACTTCTCTTTCCAAACTTTCTTGGTAGTTTTTATACATTTATTTTTCTAGGTGAACTTTAACTTATACTTCTAAATTCCAATCTCATTGGTATTACATTGAATATTACATTGAATATATACTTGAGGACTGATGACATCTTAATAATTACTGAGTCTTTCCATCAAATATAGAAATTCTACTGGAATTTAAGTATAATTCACATTTTTCTTTGGATTTAGACATACTTTCATTTAGATTCCAAAATACACCTGGAAGACATACCCAGTGGTTTTCCCCCTTTTCCTGAGTTCTATGAAGTCAGGACTTAAAATCATGTTGAGTCTCAACTGTATGATCGTTATTTCTTTGGAATTGCCTCACTTCTTATGTTTGCCTCTGCTGTAATTCAGTTGGATGCTATTTAAAGTTTTACACAAAGACCACCTGGATGATTTTTGGGTTTTCACTGTTATGTACTGAACAAGTAATAGTATAAAAGCAGATGATGTAGTCAACAGAAATCTGCTTAGCCACTCTTTTAAGTTCATCTTAATTTTACAAAGTTTGCTTGGCACTGAAATTTTAAACTTGGGACCCCTGGGTGGCTCAGTGGTTGAGGGTCTGCCTTCAGCTCAGGGCGTGATCCCAGAGTCCAAGAATCGAGTCCCGCCATCAGGCTCCCTGCAGGGAGCCTGCTTCTCCCTCTGCCTATGTCTCTCATGAATAAATAAATAAAATCTTTTACATTTAAACTTTGCCAGTTAAGAACAATTCTAGTTGCAATATAATTTGAAAGATACAAAAACATGATTATCAAATTTTTAATAGAAAATCATGTTACAGGTTTATCTACAAAATGCTCCATATTTTTGAAATTAGAAAATCTTTTCCAGGGCCAAAATTGTCTTCAAATATTTTTCTACCATAAGAATCCTTAGAGTTTTTTTAAATGGCTTTTTTTGTTGTTGTTGTTTCAGAGAAAGTTTCATTGTGCAAATTTGACTTCATGGCCTCGCTGGCTGTATTCCTTATATGATGCTGTAAGTATTACCTTGTACATTTTGTTTCTACGGTTCTACCATGATTAAGGGTCAATAGAACGAAACCTAGGCTTTCATACTTCATGGTATCTCATTTTCAGAGCAAATGCCATCCTTTACATTTAGGTAGAGCATGAAGGAATCAGATACTACTGGATTTCCTTTGCCTTTAATCTATAGAATTTTTCACTTTCCCAGTTTCTAGTGGCTTATAAACTCAAGACAAGATGAGGCGTTTTAGGGTCTATTAAGGATGTGAAATGTGGTAAGTGGTAAGTAAATTTAGAAAATTAAAGAATCCCGTAACAATGTTTTGTTTTTCTTCCCTAAACGAGTATATGAACTTTATCTCCTGATCCTGTTAGTCTACTACATCTGCAAGTGTTTTTGCTCCTCAAATTGTAATACTTAGGCATCACCACACCTTGCAAAAGTTAGACTAGAATTGTTCAAAGAATATGGGTTTTAGACACAAAGCCTGTGTTCAGCGCTTGATTTCTATAATTTTCTATGTGGTTTGGGACCAATTATCTAAATAAATTGAATTTAGAAATGGGGATAATGGTATTATTTTGTGTTAGTCATTTCCCTTAGTGAATCGCCTCACCCACAGATGTGGAATCTTGCTTGGGAAGACTAAACACTGAAGGTTGAGCACGTATTATACACACAACACTAAAGGAAACTACAGTTCACTCCACCCTACAGCAGCTTTGGGCCATTAACAAATACACAACAGACAAGTATTGTTTGCGGACATTTGTGAAAAGATCGTATGCACTCTTGTGTACTGTAGGTGCCAAGTAAGATATGTAGCAAGTGCTCATGAAGTGTATAGGAACCACTCTCTACAGAGAGAGTCAGAAAACCGATCCTGGAAAGGGAGAAGAGAGGCGAATTCCACATAGTTGGTAAAAGAACACCTAGAAGGCAGTGAGTCAGGAGCATGTGCCACTGGGAAAGAGACAGTTGAGGAGTGAGGCCTGGAAATGTGCTCGGCAGCACATGAGCTGGGGCTTTAATCATTTAAAGCATAAGAAAACAGACACTTTTAAACGGGGACTCAGATTTTAGTACACAGAGTGGGGACTAAAAATGCTACCATATTGGTTTTATTAAAGAACTGAAAATCTGACAGTAAATTGTAAAAAGTCTGTGAACATCATTTTGGCTTTTACTTTAAACAAGGAAACTTTAATGGATAGAATCAAGAAACAGCTACGTGAATGGGACGAAAATCTAAAAGATGAGTCTCTTCCTTCAAATCCAATAGGTATGAGAAGTCAGCTTTCTTCCTATGGCCTTTGATGTTTTACTACATTATTTTTCTGTTTACATTATTTTTCTGTTTAATGAAATCAAAAATTTTAGTTTAATATTTTTATTTGCTCTGAAAAGCATACATATTTGTTTTGAGCATTTTATAAAATGAGTAACAAAGTTATTAAATTTTGTGAGCCCTCTAATTGCAGTAAATGGTGCACATCCAAAAACCTGAGTGTCAGGACTCTCCCGTTCTTTGAGATGGCTTTAAAAAGGACCCTCGTTCTATAACTTAAGTACATATAACCTCTCATTTATTAGGTACAGTTACTGTAGCCATTTTTCTAGTCTTTTAGCAAACTGATTTCCTCTAACCTGTGTTTGATTTCATGTTTAAAAGACAGAAACAAAAAACAAAAACCTGTCAATAAAAGAGAAACTCAAACCCCAGGGCACAGCAACAGCTCTCTCTGGATCTCGCCTGCTTTCACATTTTTTGCTTCAATAAACTTTCCCTCCTGTACTGCTAAAAAATAATAAAAAAGAGGTTTCTAAATCCAATTATGGGAAAAGAATATATACTCGATAGCTAGTGTATTTTAATTTTGATTATAATTATGTCAAATACATTCTTTGGGATCCCTATAGCGAGGTTTTATTTCAAAAAGACATCATTATCTGATTCATAGGTCATCTGATACTTACCTGCTTCAGAAATTTAAAACTTGAAAAACCACTATGTCTTTAAGATTTTTCTTACAGAGTAGCTGCTTGTCTTCCTATTGATGATGTATTAAGGATTCAGCTCCTTAAAATTGGTAGTGCCATCCAACGACTTCGCTGTGAACTAGATATTATGAATAAAGTGAGTAAAGTGACCATGTTCATGACACCCATATTTTAGGCATGATTATCTATGGGATCCAGTTATGTAGTCATGTAATTAGAAAACTGGTTGTTTTGCTAGTTTCACATGATTCAAAGGATAATTAAGACCTCTCATTTGGGATCATACACTCAGATTGTTTTTATAGCCTTCAAACATTTAGTTTGTGAAAATACTTGATTTCCACTTGGAGCATCTGTGGTTATATGTATCTGTCACTTTTTTTCATACAAAGTCATTAGTTTTGTGAGTGAATATGTGTCACTTCAGAGTTTTTCTTGGTCCTGCATTAAAATTCTATTTTTGGATGATTGGAAGGAAAACATATTTAGAGAGATCAATACTTCAAAGAAATTTCTTGATGAGTTGTCTAAATATACAATGTGAATTTTCCCCACTAATTTTCTCTAAATTTCCACTAAATTTTTTAGTGTACGTCTCTTTGCTGTAAACAATGTCAAGAAACAGAAATAACAACCAAAAATGAAATATTCAGGTGAGAGCTTTACTACATTTCTACATTTTTAGTATACTTTTTTTTTTTTTAGTATACTTGTGAGTACATTTTCCCAACTGCTGTAACAGAGTCATAGTCAAGACTATATTTCCATTCTCCATATATTTCCGTCCATTAAGTAACAGTCATTCAGCAAATGCAATGTGGGAAGTTAAGACACCCTTCCTGACTGGGTACTCAGCAGTAATGGTTATGTAAGATATTATTCACAAGTAATGAAGCCTGGTAAAGTCAAACAAGGGGGCAGTCCTTCTTTTCCATATTCCTGCTTGGTCATCTGTGTAAGTTCTTAGTAATTAAGGACCTAACACGAATGCCTCAAGTAGTATCTTCCAGGCAAACATAAAGTAGGACACGCTTTTGAAAATGTACTGATGCTGTGTGACCTAAGTGTTTGAAAATTATTTTAGTACAAATAAATCATAAATCAGGACATAAAGAAACTGTTTCCTATAAAGTAATCAGTTGCCCAAAGATAATTTGGACCTTTTCATTGTACTTCCACTCTCAGAGACTCCTTTAGATGAAGTTGAGCTCCCTGCTGTACAAACAAGTACAGTGAATAAAACTGGGCTGACTGCCAACCTCCTGTTTTCATACTGAGGTTCTGATATTACTCTTATAACCTCACTAGACATTTTTTCTCCTTCCATTTTGACTTACCCTCTGTGCTGATTCTCTTATAGTTTATCCTTATGTGGACCGATGGCAGCTTATGTGAATCCTCATGGATACGTGCATGAGACACTTACCGTGTATAAAGCCTGCAACTTGAATCTGATAGGCCGGCCTTCTACAGAGCACAGCTGGTTTCCTGGGTAATGTGGTAGTTTCTCTGAGGGGTAGAGTGCCTTAACTGGACAGAGTCCTAAGCATAGTTGTTAGAAATGTAATCAAAAATAGACGAGATGAGTAATTCTGTTTAAATGCTCTTCATTTTTTGTGAATGGAAACAGCTAAGTTTGGCATAGACTCACTATATATAGTTAAAAGGTTGGCAACCACAGTCATCCTTATATTAACTATACACTTTATCTAGACTTTTCATTTTCCTTTTAGCTCCTTCTGAAAATCAGCTGGCATATAACCTTGTAACTGTATTTGAACCATATCCTGTAGTGTATCAAACCAGAGAATATTTCAAGCAGTGACAGACAAAACCCCTGGAAAAGCCACTGAATCCCAGTTTTCTTCAATTTTTTTCTTTAGCCCAGTGGCTTTCAAACTATGAGCCTGGCACCAGTAGCACCACCTGGGAACTAGTTAGGGTTCTTGAAAATGAGGCTGTGGGAATGTATTAATAGTCTTTTCTTCCAAATTATGGGTCAGTCTTTTATTTTTAAAAGAGGCAAGCAGAGTATGGATTAGTGATTATAATAATCATTTTGGGGGCGCCTGAGTGGCAGTTGGTTATAAGCATCTGACTTTTCAGGTCCTGATCTCAAGGTAGCTGAGATCAACTCCTGCCTCGGGCTCTGCACTCCCTGTGGAGTCTACTTAAGACTCTCTCTAAAGTAAATTAATTAAAGATAATAACTGCCATTTTGGATCTAAGACCATATTACTTGGATTGTCCAATCTTATTTAACACCCTTGCTAAGGACTAAAACTAGGATTAACTTGCTAATAGACATGTGGGATGTACCTAGGGAAGTTAAATGTGAATTTCAGTCATATGGTTTGGTTTCTAGTTATAGTTTGATTTTCTGGGTGAAGTATCTGACAAAATCATTCTTACTTCAGAGAAGTTCTTAGATTTTAGGTGAGAAGCACATGTATCGCTTCATCCCACCTCTCATTTTAAGTCACACACAAGAGTATCTCTGGACTTGGATAGTGTTTTGTAACACGACTGCAATACAAAACCACCAAGGAAAGGCCCCAGCGAATTAATCCATATTAAAAGTTTTTTCTCCAATGCCAAGAAAAAAATAAACACAGTTTAAGAGCACAATCAAGTTTGTTTCAGGAAACCATACAGAATTTGGCTCTGTCTTGAAACAGCTTTATACAGTAACAGGCTTGGGGTACAGAAATGTGTTTCCTTAACTGATACCTTTCTTTAATTTTGTAGGTATGCTTGGACTATCGCCCAGTGTAAGATCTGTGCAAGCCATATTGGATGGAAATTTACAGCCACCAAAAAAGACATGTCACCTCAAAAATTTTGGGGTTTGACTCGATCTGCTCTGTTGCCCACAATCCCAGACACTGAAGATGAGTTAAGCCCTGACAAAGTAATACTTTGCTTATAAACAAATATGATAGAGATAAAGTTATTTATCAAGTTGGTCTTGTAAAATCAGATCTGCTTCGGAAATTATTGCTTTTGATGCATACCTAAGTAAAAAGCAACATTACATGGCAGGTTACAGTTTCTTAGTCAAATGGAATTTGAAGATTTAAACTAAAATATACTATTGAAAAGGATGAAAAGCAGTCTAGAAAATTGGGGTTTTAGGAATATCTACCCTTAGCACCTTGGTACCATTATACTCTGGCTTGCTAGAATGACACTGGTAGGGCAGGAAGACCTCTCTGAGATGGAGGAGATAGATAGTTTCCTGCACAAAACCTATTTGTAATTCCTCTAATGCAAGATTAATCATTTGCTCCTGATACATGGAACCAACCTCTAAAGGGCACAAGTTCCCAAAGCTAGGATGCCAAGTACATGTTCCTCTTGAAAGAGGCAAAGAGTTTCTCTCATACTGATTTGTAAATTTTCAAAATATTAAAGAGTTAAAATACACAGTTTGAGCCCCAAAATAGTGTTTATTTCCTTATGCATTTGTTAGTGAAAACAGTAACTTATGTATTTGCTCAGTGTTTGTTTGAACACCTTGGTTATTCTGTTCCAAATTTCAATTTGAACCTAAACTACAATGGAGCAGAGATACTAAAACATACCCCCACCTTCAATCAATCAGGCTACAAGTGACTATTTTGTAAGCACCTTTGTTCCATGTAAATTAAAAATCTGTAAGTAAAGCTTAAGAGCAAACAATATTACACATCTTCTTTATTTAAATAATGTAAAATATTTACTCACAAGCCGATAATTTAAGCATTAAGATGAAGTTCTAGGTAGACGATTTGCCACCTACCTCTTTCTTCTATGTTTGAGTGTTGATTGGATCCTTTCACATTTGTGAAATAAACTTAGGTTTTGATATTCCTTCACTGCTTTACATAATTGGGAAAAGTTCAACTAATGGGGAAAAAATGTATGAGGCCAAAAACAGACTGTTAAATCTCTTATGTTTTATTTTCTTTTAGCAAACGTGCAATGGTTGTGATTGCCTAGGCTAAAACAATCCAAATGAAGTTCTCCATTGCATATTTTTGTACAGAAAGGAGTAGATGAAAAGCAACTCAAGAATGCTGTCTGTTCTTTAGCACATGCCTCTGCCTTCTTTGATTTGCATTACTAATGAGAACCTTGGGCTTATAGGGCTGTCCGAGTTGTCCACACATAGTCTTACACTAAACAGATCCTAGGCAGTTCTTTCCAGTGGCACAGTACATCTCACTACAGTCAGAGAAGGCACACTGCTTTTACTATTGCCACCTGAAGGGTGTAATCTGAGAGTATTCTATTTTGTCTACTGACACTTGCAAATAAAATTTTCTGCTATGGAAAAGAAATGCATATAACACTATTTTAAAATGGTTTTATACATAACAAGATCTCTAAAATAGCTATAGCTCTGTATGAAATTTTTTAGCATAGTAAAGATTCTATGAATTTAAGAGGACTTAAATTACTGACCCGTCCCCACAAGGGACAAAGATGCTGTGACTGGCCACACAAAAAGGAAAATCAGTTTTAAAATGTCAGAATGTAACAAGTGAAAACAATACTTTACACCCATTTATCTACCAAAAGCAATTAGGGCTCAAGCCTTTAAAGAACATTCATATACGCCTGGCCATGCGTATTTTAATATAGGCCTTTTTAATTCATGAAAAAAATGAACAATGACTAAGGGTATGGGAGTATTACTAAGGGTATGGGAATATTGTCGCCATATATAAAACCTGAAGTATACTGTCACATACCATATAAACACACTTGTCTTCCAATTCCAAAGGGAATATTTATTAAAATAAAAGGCTCAGGAGTTAACTCAAGCCAGTCTTCCTAAGGCTTAGCATGCAAAGTTAAAGAAATCATCATGTCAAAGGAAAGTATCAACTATATACTAAAACTCAGAGCTTGCTAAAGCCAGTTTTGGGTGTATGAATGCCAGCTACCTGGGACATACCTGGTCTTCATAATTTTATACAGGATATTCTGTCAACTAATTTCAACACAAGTTCACTCTAGAATTCAAGTAAGAACTGACAATGATAAAATAATGCAGTTATTTCAACTGCAAACATTAAGAAACACTTTTTTTCTTCAAGGTAGTTACCACTTTTAAGATCAGTCAGTAATGCACATACTGGGGGGAAAAAACATTTAAAAGTCTAGACAGATGAAGACAGGGGAAGCCAACTATACTATTTGCAGCAGGAACCATCCCAGAAGAACCACAAGGTTCAAGGATGTAAATGAGATTAAGAGGAGGTAGACTTGAGTTTACTGCCTGAAGTATAATTGTGTTTCACAACTGAAGACCACTGTTGATCTAAGGAGGTGCACTAAGCTGGCTTTCATTCTGCTCTACATTCAAGTCTCTTAAATCTCACTGAGAGAGAAGAAAACCTAGCCTTATCCCAAATTTTCTGCCATTAATTTTCACTCTTCTTGATGTAACTGAGGAGTTCATCTTTCTCCATTTGGTAGCCGCTTTTTTTCCACTGTTCTCGCAACTGCTGTAACAGAGCCCCAATTTCTTTTCCTGAAGAAATGCCCACTTTTCTGATGTCATGGCCACTTACAGGAAATGGAGGAATGCACCACTGCTGCATTTGTTCTAGAAGACCATGTTCTCCTTGGTACTTCAGGAGTTCACACACACGAGTCGTTGCATCAGATTCCCTAGACTAAGGGCCAAAATCAAACATTTAGTTCATCACACATTAGAATGCTTGCTAATAATCCTATCCTAAAAGGTAAATAAATAACTGATGTGAAATTTCTAACTTAAAATACTCAGAACACTCTGTGGGACTTAGATCTGACCAACCTGTATATACTTACATCTATAATGAAGTCTTGATAGGGTTTCAGTGGCTCTGAACTATCTGTTGCTTTAACTAAATCTTTCCTGTTTTTAACAATGAATATACCAAGGTTCTTCTCTTCTTTTGAAATCTTCAACCTCAAATCCAATTTTGTGACATCATCCTGTACTTTGAATAATGAGGCCAAGAGGGTCATTGGCTTTGGTGAAGAACCATCAACGTTTTTACTAACTTTGTTAAATTCTTCTAAACTTGAATTAGTAGGTAAACCTGTAGGGACAAAAACATTTCTCACCAATTTTTATTTTTTACAGTTGATAAATTTAGTAAAACACACTCATACCCTCAACCAACCCTGGTTGTAGTATACAAAATGCCCCATCACTAGAACTGCCTGGTTCAACCTAATGCTCCATCTTACAGGTTAACTACTGATAACACTGTTGCTATTCCCTCCCATAACCCCTGCCCCCAAAACCTAGGGGAGTCCTAAAACATGAGTTTCCATTAGCGAGAGACCAGGAGGTCCAGAGGCAGTGGTGGTCAGACTCACAAGGGATACTTAATTATGACTTCCGCTGACCTATTGTCATAGAATATCCGCCCCTACACCCCCACCACCATTCAAAAACTCTACTTGACATATCCCCAAGTTTCCTGAAGTGTGCTCCAGCATATACCACCATTCTTTCCGAATATTGTAACATTTATTGAGTAATTTCTATGTATGTTACCCTTTAAGCACTTTACATATTAACTCACTGAAATTTTCAGCCCTTCCATTAGACAGATGCTGTTATCTTCACACCCCTTTTTTTGATTCAGCAACTAATGATCAACTAACCCAAATCACAAAGGTGATATGTGGAAAAGCATCATTCAAACCCAAGTCTGACTCAAAGGCCACTGTGTCCCTAACCCTGACTTCACAAAGTTTATCTTTATTTTAAAATACTGCATTTCTCCTTTTACAATTAGTCAAATATTTTTCCCTATGAAATTTTAAACCAGATGTTTCATTGTGAAAAACTCAAATATTTTATAACTTGCTCTCACCTATGTAAGGAGCCACATCAAGATCATAAATGAGGTGAATCAAATGATTTACATGGTTACCAACAAGAATTTTTTTCAGTTCCACCCAAATCCTCTCTCCTGATATTCCAGCCAAGCCTTTTGCGTTTTCTGCAATTGCTTCCAAAGTCTCAGGATCATGATCACCAGGTTTGTCTACAATTTTCCCATAAAACCTACAAAACAAAATTCTCAGAGCATGTTACCTCTATGTTGGCATATCACTAGAAAAATCTTTTCATTTTACTGGTACTATTCCATACATCTAATATGAAACAACGTAGATTTAGGTTTAAGAGGGACCTTAGAGGGACACGTGGGTGGCTCAGCAGTTGAGCATCTGCCTTTGGCTCAGGGCATAATCCCAGAATCCTGAGACTGAGTCCCACATCAGGCTCCCTGCAGGGAGCTTGCTTCTCCAACTCTGCCTATGTCTCTGCCTCTCTCATGAATAAATAAATAAAATCATAAATAAATACCCAAAAAAGGGGGGGAACCTTAGAAATCATCTGGTCAATTCCTTACCTTCTTTTTGTTCCCAGATGACAAAACCTGAAGTCAATAAAATATAAATCACCTTCTTAAATTAACAAGAACAAGAACTCTCTGCTCTCTTTCCAAATCAGTAACTGAGACACTGAATCTATACTGGATGAATAACACAGAACATTCTTGTAAAGAATGCCATCAAAAGAACAGCATACGAAGCTTGCCTGTCTGTACCCACTTTTTTTTTTTTTATTATTTAAAGATTTTATTTATTCATGAGAGAGAGTGAGAGGCAGAGACACAGGCAGAGGGAGAAGCAGGCTCCATGCAGGGAGCCCGACGTGGGAATCGATCCCGAGACTCCAGGATCAGGCCCTGGGCCGAAGGCAGCGGCACTAAACCGCTGAGCCACCCGGGCTGCCCACCACCAATACTTTTAATGAAAAGTTTCAAATAGGACTCCTCTAGTTGCAGACAGTGGAATGTATTTCTAGCAATCTCAGAATTGGAAGCCTTAAAGCACACCCATACTAACAAATCTTTAAAATTCAGTTAATAATGTAGCTTAAATTACAGTAACTATAGATGTCAGTCTGTGTTCTATTTGCAAAGAGAGACTTCTGCAAATACTCAAATTTAAAGGAAGAGCATCTATTGACAGAATATGTGGATCACATTTAGAATATTTTAGAATATTCTAAATGTGATCCCCCAACCAATAAAATATTAGACATAAACTAGCCAGTTAGAATCGTTTTTTAAAAGGGTTATATAGCTCAAAGTTTAAAAACCATTGCTACCCACAAAACCAAATTCATTCCATCCTTACTTAGCAAGCTCATCTAAGTGTTTCCCATGACCACCTAAAACTGTAAGCCACACAGGCAAAGACACTCATTCCTCCGTATTCAAAGCACCTAGCAAGTGGCTGGCCTGTGGCAAGCATTCACTTATCTATGTAATGAATGATCAGTGCAGGAAATAAGAAAAATGGACCTTTAAAAAATTATTTAAAGCTGAATTATATAAAAGACCACAGAATAAATATGTATGTTTTTGGGGAAAAAAAAATATATCTCACAGTTAAGTCACATTTTACTGAGTCTATCAGAGACAGATATTTGGGATGTCACTATGTTGTACACTGACCTGTGCATTTCACATCTCACACAGAGCTCTGGGATATATTAAAATCTATATCATTATTTTTTAAAAATTCTTACCGGAAATATCTTAAAATTCGAAGATAATCTTCTTGTATCCTTTGTTTAGCATTTCCAACAAACCTAACTTTCTTATTTTTTAAATCTTCATGACCATTGAAGTAATCAAATAAGGTACCATCAAAACCTATTCATTAAAAAACAGGAGGGGGAGAGATAGCTGTTAGCAAATAAGAACTGGGAAACAAATTTTGCTAAGAACTATTACAAACTAAGTGAAGGAGTTACGAAGTTAAGATATAAACAGGGACAGCATTCACACATACACCCACTATCAAACAGAAGACCTAATGGAATAAAAGGGTGAATTTACAACAGCAACTAAAAAGATAATGCCCAAAAATGAACTAAACAAGAAATATGTCTCAAGTATGAATTGGGGTGGAGATAAGATACCAAACAAGCTGGTTTTCAAGTTAGTATGGGAAAACAAACAAGAATAGCCAAAATAACCTGGGGGAAAAAAATAAACAGCAAAAAGAATCTGGAGAAACTATAAATAATAAACCATAGGAAAAAGTATTTCTGATCCTGGAATGGGGAAAAAATCTTTCAAAATTTAAATCCTTGAACATAAGGTTTGAACTCTGTGGGTCCACTTATGGGTGGATTTTTTTTCCTCAAAGATTTTATTTATTGGAAAGAGAGAGCAAGAAAGAGCACAATGGGGAAGGGGTGGGGGGCAGGAAGGCATAGAGGGCGAGGGAGAAGCAGGCTCCCCACTGAGCAGGGAGCCCGAGTTAGGGCTCAATCCCAGAACCCTGGGATCACGAACTGACATTTAACCAACTAAGCCACCAAGGCACCTCTCCTTTTATATAATACTATAGCTGTTTTTTCTCTTATATAAGATTTCCTTAACATTTTCTTTTCTTTAGCTTGCTTTATTTTAAGAATGCAGTATATGATACACAGAACATACAAAGTTGGTGTTAATCAATAGTTTCTGTTATCAGTAAAGCTTCCTACCAATAGTAGGCTATTAGTAATTAAGTATGGGGGAGGTAGTCAAAAATTAATATGCAGATTTTAGACTAGGTGGGGGTTTACCAAGAAAACAAAACTAAAACACACACACACACAGAGCACGAGAGCCGTCAAAGTAATTCAACTACCTAAAAATCAAATATGCCTGACAAGAACCACCATGACAAACATAACATACTGAGAAAAATATATATGTAAGTCAAAATAGACCCAAATACTTAATTTCCATAATATACAAAAATATCTTGTAAATAAAAATACCATATATAAGTAGAAGAATTAGCTAAAAATATACTAAGGAAATAGAAAAAACCTTTAAGATTTTTCAGAACATCTGGATGGCTCAGTTGGTTAAGCAGCCAACTCTTGATTTCAGCTCAGGTCATTATCTCAAGGTTGTGAAATCAAGCCCCGACTCAGGCTCTGCACTAAGCTCAGAGTCTGCTTAAGATTCTCTCCCTCCCCCTCCCCCTTGCCCCTCTCCTGGCTTGCATGCTCTCTCTTGCTCTCTCTAAAACAAATAAATATTTAAAGAATTTAAAAGAAAATTTTTCATCCTTAGTCATAAAAAAACGCAAATTTATGAGATAGTGTTTTTCACATTTCTGTCAGATCCAAGTTTGATTACATTGTGAGCAAGGCTACGGTGAATCAGATTATGAGATCACTATGCAGCCTCTTAAGCTATATGAATTTGAGTCCTTAAAACTAATACCCATTCAAAAAAATGTAAACAAGAAACATTCCCACTATAGTATGTTTGTTCTCTCATATGTTAACAAAAAAAAAATTATTTTAATATAAGGCACACCAAAGCTCATGTATTAGTAGAGCAATCAATTCATCTGTTATCCCAGAACTTTTTTGGTTTTAAAAACCAAAAATCTCATGTCCCAGGGAATAGCTCAGTCCCAGGCAGACAGCTGGTCACCCTAGGACTCAAAAAAACAGCACAAAGACATACCTTCAACCATCCAAATGGGAAGATGGGTGATCCTCAGAGACACTTTACCTTGAAGAAGAGAAGCACTGCCTCTACTTCTGAAAAGCAACTACTTCCCAATTTAGTTCTGTTTGAACTTTAATGCTCTTTAATTATCCCAAATGCACAAATATCAGTAAGCTCAAGCTTAACACTTCCCAAATTGTTTTGATTTATATGGCATTTTGACACGTATAGCAATTTTTAAAGGCTCTAAATTCAAAGAAATTAAAGTGGGAAAAAAGTAAACAGGCAAAAATATGATTACAAAGTAGCAAATCCATGTGGTATATCTCTTAATAAAGAGACTGGACTCTCCCCTGCTGAGCATGGAAGTACTAAAGTCCTTTTCAGTAAAGGACATACCAAAATTTGGAGGAAAAGGGAAAAACAAAAAAAAGTAGGATATGACAAGAACAAAGTTTGAGAGAAGCAAAGTAATCAGAAATACCAGAACTACAAATGCTTCATCCAGTAAGGCCTATAAACAGCCTGGGCAGAAAAATGGGCTGAAAGTAAAAATTAGTGAGTAGTGAGAATAGTAATGAGTAGTGAGAATATCCTATCAGCGTGCACTTTGTTTTTTGCTCTGATTAGCACTTTCAAAATATGGTGCATAAAAATAAGAAATAAAGTTGAGCTGCTAAGAATAATGTAGTGGTTAAGAATGTGACCTCCAGAGCCAGGATGCTTAAGTTGGAATCCTAATTCTGCAATTTACCAGCTGCACAACTTTAAGCAAATTACTGTGGGTTCAACAGAAGTATCTGCGTCATAGAGATGCCAGAAAATTAAATTTCTGTGATGTGCTTACAACAGTGCCTGGCACATTATAAGGGCTCAGCAAATGTTAGAAAACAGGAGTATCAGTAAGAATAGCTTTTATTTCTATAAAATAGTATATTAAAAAGGAATATTAGCTTCTCTATTATAGGTAGGTATGCTCAGGAAAAGCCAGTTAAAAATTTTATACATTGCACTAGGCAGGGCAGTTTACCCTAAGTCAGAATGAGCAAAGATAAACAGATAAAGGAGACAAAAATATGCCCCTAATGGGGCTTCTCTCTGGTCACAAATCACCTGGGCTTTGGAAACCTGGGCTCCAATCATGGTAGTCTATGACTTAAGTAAGCCCTTTACCATCTCAGTCTACTTCCTCATCAAATGGATTTAATATTTAATGCAGTTTTTAGGACAGTTAAATGCAATAAAGTATATCAAATAACCTAGAACCTAGATGCTTCAAAAACATCTTTAATGTAGCTGGCAAGAATCCCATGTTGGCACACAACCCCTTCTCCAGCCCATAAAGCAAATCCTGTTACAGGTCCCCGCACTGTCTCCAAGTTCGCTTTAGGCCCTATCACCTTTACAAAAGACCTACTTTGGTACCTGTTTGCACTAAGTGAAACAAATCTCAAGGATTTTCATTCTGAGGAAACAGTACTTGCTTCCACACCTTATACCACTTCAACTTGAAAAAGGTTACAGAGGATACTTTTTGGGTAGCAAGGAATCTGTACTTTAATCCTTTCACTATTACTGCTGCCACAACTAGGTTATGAATAGTGGTTGCTTCAGCTCTCTTTTTCCAACCCAAAGTCTTAAACATATAAAGAACTTAACTACAATTTAAAGGACAAAAAAGAACACTCCAATGAAGCACTAAACTTAATTCATCTACTATGAGTCTCACTAGTTTCATTAACAAAAACATCAAGGTGAGATGATAAATAGGTTTTCTCTTGCATGTCAACTCTGATTACAGGTGATTCCTAAAATGCAATGCTATGAAAGAATTTGACCTTGTGTCTAGGCATAGCAACAGAAAAGGTGCTGAGGTTACTCATGAATGTATGCCATGGGCACCAGAAAAGAAAGCCTAGGGTAGGCATGCACAAAACACAATGTAGTGGAGAGTGACTTGGGGAATGTATGTGGGTGTGCTTTTCTTACCTGAAATGTTAACCATTTTTAAATGCAATTAATAAATGAGCACTGAATGTGTACATGTGCCAGGCAGGAACTGTTCTAAGGATGTAAAGATGTAAAATTATTATCTCCTTTAATCACGACAACCTTGCAAAGGAGACTAATATTAGCATCCTCATTTTACAGCTAGTGAATCATAGTCAGAATCTGAACCCAGGACTTCTGGCTCCAGAGATTTTTTTTTCTTTTTTAAAGATTTTATTTGAGAGAGCACATGAACACAAGAGCGCAAATGGGGGAGAGGGGCAGAGAGAGAATCAGATTCCCCACTGAGCAGGGAGCCAGACACAGTGCTCAATCCCAGGACCCTGAGATCATGACCTGAGCAGAAGGCAGCTGCTTAACTGACTGAGCCACCCAGGTGCCCCTCAGGGTCATCTTTTAACCCACATGCTACGCTATCTCTCAGATGAAACTAATGCAGCCTCTCAACTTAGAGAACATTCCCAGACTGCAGATTCACTTAAAAAGGCAGCTCTCAGGAGTGCTTGGGTGGCACAGCTGGTTAAGCATCCAACTCTTGGTTTCAGCTCAGGTCATGATCTCAGGGTTGTGGAATAGCACCCCGAGTCAGGTTCTGGGCTCAGTGCAGGGTCGGCTTGAGATTCTCTCTCCCTCTTGCCCTCACCTTGCTCTAATAAAGAAATCTTTAAAAAAAAAAAAAAAAGCAGCTTTCGGAAAGACTGGAGTAAAACATTATCTCTAGATATTACCTAAAAACATAGAATTTATAGTGAGATCTCTGCGTTCAGCATCTTTTTGCCAATCAGTTGTGAATTCTACCTCAGCATGTCTTCCATCAGTGACAACATCAATCCGCAGTGTAGTAATTTCAAAATTTTCTTCATGAAGCTGTAATGAAACGGATTTTTGGTTAGTTTTTAGTATCACTGTATGAATTGAAAAAAATTAGTGAGTCCTGACACGTATCATCTTTCTTCTCAAAGTGACCTAGTGTACATGTATCTTGAAATGGAAAATTTACCACTATATTCAAGATAGAGCCAAAGAATATTTAAAAAAATAATAAAACAATCTTCATTAAAAAGGATGAGTCTGACATAAAAAAAACAAAAAACAAAAAACAAAAAGACAACTCTAACAAATATTGTGGCAGAGAACAGAGGAGGCCTTCAGAATGGTGGATTCCAGTTCTTCAATTCCAGATCAGGCTACTCTGAAATATTTTTTTAATTCCAGTTTGCAAAGAGCTGAATATCAATTTATATTGATATTTATTGGTATTTATATATACCACTGAGAAAAGGACTAATAGAGGAAGAAATACAAACCATTAATACATTCTGCAACTCTTGTACTGGTAACCATCAATGAAGTTGAAACAAAGTACTATATATATTGTGGGAAGAGAGATTAGCTCCAACTAGGAAAAGCTGAGTAGCTTCAGGATAGATTACCTATAAACTGAGCCCTGAAAACTAAGTAGGATCTATACTTGGGACATGGGGGAAGAGCATTTCAATGAAGAGGAAAGATGACCAAAGGCACAGAGAAAGAGGGATATATACACAAGAAAGTACTGCTAACAAATACCATGCTAGCATTTAGGGGAAGACAGTAAAGGGTTTTACATGCCAATAAGAAATTCGGAATCTCTTCATTAAGAATTGAAAGCTTCTAATCATCACTCTAAGTCTGTTCTAGAATTCCTCCCAATCTCATTTCTTTTCTTGAAACAAGTTAGTTCTCACTATAGAATTCTAGAACTCAAGAATTTGAGGCACAAGTTTTCTTTAAAGACAGTAAGAAAAGGGTGTGAAATATGGAAGACTGAAAATCACTGTAGGGAGCAGATCCCTGGAATGTCTCCCTTACCCAGGCAAAGAACCAGAGATTAACTCACAAGCACAAGAAAGGCTGACCTAAAAATAGTCACAGTTTGGGACACCAGATACAGATGATGATGAGAATGAAGCACCACAATTAAAACAAGGTTAAGTGAAAAAAAATCCATACCACCCTCATTCTCCTTCCCCACTTGGTTTTCAAAATGCTGATAACCAGCCTTATTCTAAGCTGAATGACACTAAAGGATTCCTCTGATTTCCCCTTTTCCACTGATACTGACACTGGTGATCCCACAAGTAACCAGCTGACAATTCCTACATAGTGAAGTTCTCAAGTCACTTTACAAACACCAGAGGATCATCCACACTTAAGGAAAGAACCAAACCCACATTTAAGAAAAGCCAATGGAAAGACAGAAAAAGCTCAGAGGAGAGACACTATCAAAAAACCTACAATCAGTATCTTAAAGGAAGTAAGACAGTCCATCTGAAACAAGAGGAAGTTTTCAAAAGAAATATTCTAAGAAACATCTTTAAAAAATCTAAAAATAGCAAAAGTTGCAAATGTAACAAAGAATGGATGATCAGGCTAAAGCAGTCCCATGGAAAGTAAAATAAACGTATGAGAATATAAAATAGGAGAGAGGCGCCTGGATGGCTCAGTTGGTTAAGTGAGTTTGGCTCAGGTTATGATCTCAGGGTCCTGGGATGGAGCCCCATGTAAAGCTCCGAGTACAGCGGGGAATCTGCTTCTCCCTCTCTCTGCTCCTTCTCCCTCTTGTGCTCACTCTCAAATGATTTTTTTTTAATCTTAAATAAATATAAAATAGGAGACAAAAGATAAAACTAGATCAGTCTTCGTGGTCCAACATCCAATATCACAGTAGTTTCCAAAGGTGAAGACACTGAACCAAGGGGATGAAATTATGAGAGGAATACAAGAAGGCCCACTAAGTCTCCCTACACAATTAATGAAAAAACACATCCAAACCAAAGCACAGCATCTTGAAATTAAAAACACCAGATAAAAAGATCAGAAAAGCTTTGGGGTGTGGGGGATGGGGAATGGTCTCCAACGAGAAATCTGAATGAGCTCAGACTTCCCAGTGGCAGCACTGGCAGGCAGCAAACAAAGGCTCTCTATTTCTGAGTGAAAATGATTGCCAGCCTGGAATTCTACAGCCAAACTATCAGACCAGTGTGAAGGTAAAATAAAAATATGTGCAGACATGTAAGACTTTTTCAGGCTTCAGACTATTAAAATAAGAGAAAAAAAAAAAAAAAAAAAAACCAGTAACAACAACGACTATCACACAGGACTCAAGGACCAGGCAGTCTAATAAGGAAGAAGCTAAGAAATTCCCAGGATCTGGTGCAGAGAAATCTTAGGATGAGAAATGAGGAGCCAGCTCTCGATGTACGGCTGTGAGAAGACAGCATGCACCAGGTGAGGTGGCTCAAAACAAGAGAACTGAAACTTGACAAGTTTAGTCTACTAAATGAGCTTATGGAGTACAGGAACAGATGACTGGCAGACAGAAAGCCAAATAAAGGAAAAATGCTGTCAACTGCGGGGGAAAAACCACAACCACCCAAGAAAGAGCTGCAGTCACACTATACTTCACAGTTCAGCTGTAAACCATACAGTTCTAAATGAAAACACTGTGAATTCAACCAAACATGATGGTCACAGTCAGAGTGCGAAGATGAGGTAGGACAACAGGCTGCCCCTTTCCCCTGCAGGAAGTCAACAGAAACATCCCATAACTGGGAAACTGGAAACCAGAACACTGCAGCACAGAAAGGTCTTTTTTAGAAATGTGAGGCTAATAGGTAAGTACCATAAAAACTAATAGAAAGTGGCTGCAGCAAAGGAGGATGCACGGCTTAAGAGGGAGAGACTGACGTATTTTTATTAGTTTTTTGTCACCTGCTTCTTAAAACTAGAAAAAACACAGAACAATTTTAAAAATTACAAAAAAGGCAATGCAATTGCGTCAAACCTTTCACTCACCCTGGCAGTAATTGTTCCATGCTTTTCTCCTTTGTTGTTTATCATACGAATACCAGCCGACTGAAACATGTCTTTCATTTGAGCAGGAGTAGCAGTCGTAGCAAAATCCACATCTTGAGGCTTTACTCCGTTTAATAAATCCCTCACTGCTCCCCCTGCTATTCTTAATTCATGATTTTCTTTGACAAACAATTCTGAAAGAAGAAAGAATATTTTTTACTTCAATTTATTTAACTACAAAAGTACATGGTTTTCCCAATCTATTAGGGACAGCAGAGATTACTGAACTGCACCTCTTCAAATAAAAATTACAAGGCCCGTAGAAACAAGATGACTTACTTGGAGTAGAATGCCTCTCACAACTGTGAGAGCAGGGAATCTGCAGATTTTTTTTCTTGGTGGACTCGAAAGAGAATTCAGAATTCCATAATCCTCCAAGGTCACCAATATAAATTTGAATTATAACCAAAAAGTAAAGTGAACAATTGTTTTTTCTCCAAGTTGTTGCGCATACTTCAGAAATATGAGGTGTTCTTAGACATATTTCTCTTTATGTACTGATAGGCTCTATGTTCATGCGTGAAACTATGAAACTTCAAACAACATTAGTCTATCACACCAGCTAGGATGTCACAGCTAGAATCTGTCGAGAAATGACCTGCATACAATGCTGATTTTTGTTCCTGCCTAAGCTCTAGAAAAGCCATAGGAATGCTCAAACTACTCTGAGGGCCTCAGTACAGGAAACCCAGAGCTAACTCCTCTCTAGGTACAAGACAAAGTCCATTGTAATTACTCATGACCAAAGGACATCATATGGTACCTAGGGAGAATGACATCCAGGAACTGGCCTTATACGACCACCTAAGTCTTGGTATTGCCACAAGCTGGCCTGGCACCCACAATTAGACCCTGGTGTTCTCTTGTTGAGCATAAACAATGTCAGAGAACATCCACATCTGCAAGTCCATTCAGTGACCATGACGGATCAGTTAAGACAACTAGTAATCATGTCTGAACATAGAAGACATGAACACCATCAAAGACACCAACTTATGGCAGTTAATATATGTGACTGCTCCTTATTTACCTACCAGTTAACAGAGCACAGAGCTGTGTTCTCATCTTCTAAGTAAGAATTAAGATGCCCATCACAGATTTATCCTTGCTTCCTGATACCACCTTAACCCACAGGTAAATTCCACTTCTTATTCCCGCCTCAAAACATGATACAAGCACAAATCCTACAAGAAGTCCTTTCTAAAAACCTTTTGCTGAGATACTCCACAGCTCTCCATGGTCCATGTTCTCCCTCACTGCAAGGAGTAACAACTTACCTGGTCTCTGGCTGGAGGGCAATGACCTGAACATTGAGCTAACTGCATCAGAGTTCTGGCATCCCTCATGACCAGCCAGTATCTGAACCTCCACCCCTACCCTAAATCTGTGTTCATCCTCTTCCTCTACATATTCTTCCTTAATCCTCCAGCCCCACCCTCTGGAGACTACCTAAAATGATCTGCTATGAAGTAACAAATGTTCCCTCCACCTTCTGACCTCAAATTTTTAGATCTCCCAGACCACCCTAAGTCCTTTCCAAGAGTATGTGTTCATCTTCCCTTCACTCCACATTTCTAATCAAGTCCTACTGACTCTATGTCCTATTAAGGGTTCCTTCATATGGGGTTCAAGGTCCCTTAAAATAAAGTGTAAAAACCATGTATGGTAGTCAAAAAAAAAAAAAAAGTATACGTTAGTCCAGTTTTCATGAAATTATAGAGGCCCTTGACCCAAAAAGTTACGGAATGTCAAACTATTTCTGGACTCTGTCCATTCTACCTAATTCAGGACCTCTTCCTCTCCTTCCCTACCAAGAGTGCTACATCAGCCCCCTTAAGCCCAGCTTCCACCATCTAAACAGGGGTTCTAAATCACTCACTTGATTAGGCTATGCCATTATCCCTCTGACTACTCCCAGCACAATATCCACATTTCTGTGGTACATCACTCCTGACTCACTTCTGTCTCCTATATCTGCATATGCTTTACATTCACCAAAATCTCCCTGTAGTTCCCTCTGTAACTTCACTTGCATGGGTCACTTCACCCAAAAATCTTTCCTGCTCACCTACCTGAGCAGCTGGCCATGAAACATCTTGGTGCACAACCCACACCAAGACATTTTACATGTCAATCATGTCAGACGAAGTTTCAAGAAATACTGTTACTTCATACCACACAACCTCATCTGTTCTATCCTCTTTTCCTCTGTTTTTTTTTTGTTTGTTTGTTTTGTTTTTTTAACACTGGTCATGACCACTACATTCACTTTATGGTTCACTAATGGGTTACTACCCAAAATAGGAGAAACACTGATCTAGTTCATCCTTATTCATCTTTTGTAATTCAGTTTAGGAATCTCTCTTTGATGGTGGAGTTAAACGAATTTTTTCCAAGCTACTAGAGTAGCCTATTTTTTATCATACTAATTATATTAACATTACCTGTTCATTCTCAGGGTAGAATGCCTATCCTACTCATCTTTTACACCAACCTGGCTCACAACAGAACCTGTGATATCCCAGCTTCAAAAAAATTTAAAAAATAAACCAGAGTGACCTCACTGGAAAGTATTTTTTAAAGATTTTCTTCGAATTAATACAGTTAGAATCTATTCTGAAATGCAAAAAATGAGTAAGTTTTACTTTCACTTGAATCTACTTTAACAGGATAAAGAAGGTCAAGACTGAACACAAGATAACCTCTGTTTTAAGATTCTCACGCTGGCTCAACTAAGATAAATTTTTAAGTTCAAAGTCACCTAATAAATTAACTGTATTATAGAAAGAGGTCCAGAATTCAAAGTAATCTATTCCATCATTTTGATTAGCCATATGGAAATGGATAACTATTTCCAAAAAACGCAGAATTCTAACATAATACAAGTGAGAAAGGCATATAAAGGCATATGTATGTGCCTGCATGGAACAGTCATAATAACTAAGAGTAGGGATTATCAAACTTAGACACTCCTTTTTTCCTCCGTTATTGTATCTCCAATCTTACAGGGATCCACACTGCGACGAATTTTGTAAACTACATACTCAGAAAAATACATAATGCAACTAAATTTAATTGTCAATTTAAGCCTAAGACTTAAGAAATGTATAATCTCATCATCCCAAACCTATTAATCTGCTTCAACTGCCACATCTGACAGTAAGCTATTTTTAATTATTGTTAGCAATCCAAAAGACCATGACATTATATGTCAGAAACTTTTATCATTGTCTACTTTTTTTTTTTTTAATTTTATTTTTATTTTATGATAGTCACAGTGAGAGAGAGGCAGAGACACAGGCAGAGGGAGAAGCAGGCTCCATGCACCGGGAGCCCGACATGGGATTCGATCCTGGTCTCCAGGATCGCGCCCCGGCCAAAGGCAGGCGCCAAACCGCTGCGCCACCCAGGGATCCCTACTTTTTTTTTTTTCCAATCAAATTTTCATTAACTTGTTCCCTTTACAATTTTGAATTTTAAGTTTTGGAGGCTAAGGATACAGAAAGTGAGTGGAAGGACAGTGGCAAGAGCATTTCATGTCATGACTATACTACAAAAAAATACACGATCTGTTCTTCAGTGTCCAGGTGCTCCTACTGTCCCAAATGTTATTAACTATGACGGCTTTATGACATCACATACCTAACCAGTGAAAATCTAACCACTGAGTGTTAACGCCCAGCATTTTGTATAGATTACAGCCAAGCGTCCAAAGATACCCTGACATGTTCATTAACCATGTAACTTAGGAAAAAAGTCAATGTCTAGAACCTCAGTCTCATGTACAAAACAGGGGAAAAAGATCTCACATGACCCTAGCATGCCTCCACAATGTTGTCCTCAAGCAAAAGGAATAAATTACATGAGATAAACTGGCAGATTATAAAATCCTACACAGTGTATAATCTCTGGATTATGTCTAAAATCATCCACTATCCTAGCTTCCCAAAGTCTTGCATACTGAAGTAATTTGCATGTGGCAAATCAGCTATTAGGACTTGAGAAGTGGTATAGTATTCAATTGTACAGTATCACCATACAGCAGCCATCATTTGTGTGTTGGTGCAATTTTCATGCAAAACATCGTATTTTCCCAGAATACTCAAGTCTTTAAAGCGGCAAAAATCAAATAAAACCAATTATTTGATGTTCTAACTGACGAGCTTTGCACTATAGGATTCCATTCTTGCCACTTCCACCATAGCCTAAAGAAGTAAATTTCTGGGGTAGCCCAGGTGGCTCAGCGGTTTAGCGCCGCCTTCAGCCCAGGGCCTGATCCTGGAGACCTGGGATCAAGTCCCCCATCAGGCTCCCTGCATGAAGCCTGCTTGTCCCTCTCCCTGTGTCTCTGCCTCTCTCTGTTTCTCTCATGAATAAATAAAATCTTAAAAAAAAATTAAATTAAAAAGTAAATTTAAAAAGTCAACTTCAGAATATGTCCATGCCACCATTTGCCAGGCTTTCAAGGACAAGACCCTGGGGGTAAATATGACCTGTATCTTCCCACCCTATTGAGTTTCTATTTCCTTAGGATTTCAGCTCTCAAGGTGAAGACAGTTCAACTCTTGAGGTAAGGGTTAGTAAGCCAAATGAAATTGTTAAAAGACACTGAAGAACCTATAGCAATCAATATCCAGACCCTGGTTTCCAAAAGAAAAATGCAGGACCCAAAACAGGCCACCAAGAGTTAATTACCTACATCCAAGCATTTGGCACCTTTAATCCAAGAGGCCTCTTGCAACTGAAGATGGGAAGCTGGGAGAAGATTAGGAGCTGGGAAAGGCATATAAAGAAAGAACAAGCTTGAATTCAACTCAGATTTGGAATTTCTAAGCTTGTACCATTCAAACAGTAGGCTCATGTGGTTACTGAACACGCACTTGAAATGTAGTGAGTCTGAATTAAGATGGTCAGGAGGTGCCAACCACCAGATTTCAAGGACTTACAAGTAAGGACGTGAAATACCTCGCTAATAATTTTTACACAAATTTTATATTAAAATGATGGTATCTTAAATACAGTGGATAAAATGAAATGCTATCCTAAAGTAATTATTGGGAAATCTGGGTGGCTCAGTGGTTAAGCATCTGCCTTTGGCTCAGAGAATGAGCCCAAGGTCCTGGGATCTAGTCCCACATCAGAAGCCTGCTTCTCCCTCTGCCTGTCTCTGCCTCTCTCTGTCTCTCACGAATAAATAAAATCTTTAAAAAAAAAAAGAAGAAAAGAAAAGACGAAAGAAAAAAGAAAAAAGAAAAGAAAAGAAAAGAAAAGAAAAGAAAAGAAAAGAAAAGAAAAGAAAAGAAAAGAAAAAAGGAGTACTCGGGATCCCTGGGTAGCTCAGCAGTTTAGTGCCGCCTTTAGCCCAAGGCCTGATCCTGGAGACCTGGGATCGAGTCCCCCATCAGGCCCCCTGCATGGAGCCTGCTTCTCCCTCTGCCTGTGTCTCTGCCTCTCTGTGTCTGTCATTAATAAATAAAATATTAATAAATCAATAAATTTTAATTTCACCCATTTCTTTTTACCTTTAATGTGGTTACTAGAAAAGTATACATTGTACATGTGACTGATATTTCTAGTGGACTGGAGTTTCTAGCATTTTTCACTCTAATTATAACTCAGAGTGAAGTATTGGCTTCAGGCCCTCCACTTCAAGAACACATGAAGAATCTATATGAATCAACAAGTTCTGGACCACTGACCTCTGACATGTATCTAAAAAATCATCTAATTTCAAGAATAGAAAAGTAGCCCTGGGAATAAACTAATACAAATAGTCATTTTAATGCCATGGTTCCTCCATCTTTTGCACAACAGAATTAATGGACTAGAGTTCTTATAAAAATTCATAGATGCCCATCCTCCCCAGAGATTCCAGTTCGGGACGTAGGTCACGGTGGGACCCCAGCATTTGTATAGTTTAAAAGCTCCCCCGGTGAATCTAATGGACAGCCAGGGTTGCATAACACTGTATAGGTCACCTTTCTACAGACACATGCCTTTATGTATTTCTGGAGGGTCACTAAAATACCACAGGCTTTGTAATGCAGCTACATGGCTGCTTTAGCAACAGCACAGCTGGTAACTAAGGACAAATGTAAGGAATGATAGGACCGTGGCAAGCAACATGAAGCTGCAGTCATCAAGGACTTAGCTGAAGTTATTTCCTGTGCTCCTTACAGGTAAGTTTTACATGTGCACGGAAGGGACTCCTATTTCCTTTTGCCTTCAGTTGGCTCAGAAAGCACTTATATCTAGGGAGAAAATATAGCATAGTGGTTACAAACTAAGTACTAAAAGCAGATTGCACAAGTTCAAAATTTAGCTCTCTAGTTATTATGAAAATGTTGGCATTCTTAAGCCTCGTTCCTTGACCATGAGAAAGTATATCCACTTGTTACGTTTGTAGGCCCAATCCTGGAATAGATCTATAAGGTAGTTAGCAAAGCATACAGAAAAACCATGCTTTTTAATTGAAGTCACTGCCTGACTCTTATGTTTGGCTATGTTTTGGATAACCCATAGTAAACCTTTTCTTTCTGGTTAGCTCAACAGTGAGAACAAAAAACAGAACAACCACCAAAAAAAAAAAAAAAAAAAAAAAAACCACGCACACACCAGAAAACCAAATCAAACCTGAATGTTGGCTAAGAAACATTTCTTAGCCTCCATTTCTCCACTTACAAGGGCTTTCAAAGCAAGAAGCGTCCTAACCTCTCACCTGTCAGGCTCTTCAATCCTTCTGTGAACAGTGACTGGAATTCTGGGGACTGCAACTTCATCGTAAATAGATGCTGCTTGAAAAGGCACAGCTTCCTCCGACTAGAGCTCAGGAAGGGCCCGCGCCAGGGATTCAGGCACCTCAGCATCTGGGGGCAGGCGCCAACCACACATCTGCAAGACAAACACGCACGTAGGACAATGAAATTTGACAGTGAAGGAAAATAAAGGGCTATATACTGCGATTGTATTTAACGTCTGAGAGACATTCATCTCCTGTTCAGATATTTAAAAAAAAAAAAAAAAAAAACCCTGCACTTAGCGACCATGTGGGGGAGCGCCCCGTCTGCCTAGATGTATGCTTCTGGCTAGACGGCTTTGTACTCCTGAGCCACTGTCCCAACGCTCTCTGGAGACACGGGTTTCAGTTAAAGCTGCCAAGAACAGCGGCTGCAGGGAAGGGGAGGCCAACACTCCACGACGACCTGGCCTGGCCCCCTCCGAACCACGCCACGGCGCTTCCCCACCTGCACCTGAGACTCGGGGCCCAGGGGGCAGTTCCTAGGCCCAGACCCGGCTTTCCCCACTCAGAATTCCTTCCCGTCGGGCCGGCTCCTGAACCCCCCCCACCACCCTGCTCCCCACATCAAGCGGGCTCCCCCAGGGGCCAGCAGGATTCCAAGGGACCCCGACGGAAACCACTAACTAGGAGCGGGCCTCCCACCAGGGGGCGGAGCGAGTTCTCCTCTCGCAGACCACGTGGGGAGGAAACGCGGGCTCCTTCCAACTCCGCCTCAATCACCAGGACCTGCGGAGGACCCGGGCTGGGAAGCGGCGCGTCCAGCCCCCGTGCCAGGTGCCGGATCGCCAACCTAGTGAGACCCTCGGGGGCCCGGCCGCGAGGAAGGGAAAGTGCCCGGGGAAGCCCGACGATTCGGCCTGCGGTCACCGGAACGTGGCGGCGACGCGACGAGGTCCGAGCCGCCGGGCAGAGAAAGCCTCCCACGGCCACAGGCTCGCACACCGCCCCGCGCGACCCACGGCGGGGGAAGGCCGGCCGCCCCCGCCGCCCCTCCGCGCGCCCCCCCGCTCACCAGCCCAGCCGTCGCCGCCGCCGTCGTCGTCGCCAGGCGCACTTCCGGGCGGCGGACGCCGTGACGTCAGCACCGCGCGCCTGCGGGCGGCGGGTGGGCAAAGCGCCTCGGCGCGTGGGCGGGACCAAGCGGGCTCCCTCGGCCCCTCCCTCCTCCCTGACACTCAGCGGGGCCGCGGAGGGGACGCCCCTGGGGAGCTGGAGGGCCCGGGGCCTTGTAAGTCTTTTATTTATTTTTAAGATTTTATTTATTTATTTATTCACGAGACACACACACAGAGAGAGAGAGAGAGAGGCAGAGACACAGGCCGAGGGAGAAGCAGGCTCCGCGCAGGGGGCCCGATGCGGGACTCGATCCGGGAGCCCGGGGTCACGCCCTGGGCCGAAGGCGGCGCCGAACCGCTGCGCCACCCGGGGATCCCCCTTTTAGTTCTCTTTTAATCACACGTGCCCGGAGGTGGTCAGGTGCCCATCTGCGCCGCCAGGCTGGCGGCCCCGGACGAGTGTCACCGTTTTCCTTCGTGCCCGTAACACCTGTTCCAGAGGTTGCCGCTGCACCGTCGGCTGCTGGCCGGCAAGGGGGGCCGCTCGGCCGCTGCGCCTGCTCCTGAGACCCCGCGCCCACAGGGCGCCGACGGCCTCTCACGCACGCGCTGTCGGTTTCAGCGCTCTGGCTCCTTGACGTCCTGGGACAGACTTTGTTTTCCCGCCTGGGGTTTTGAAGTCTGAAGGCTACCGCGGCCGCCAAGTGAAGAACTTGGGTTGGATTCCGTTCCTTCGTTTTCTCCAAGGCTGAAAACAGTAAAAAAAAAAAAAAAAAAAGTGGCAGAGGAGTAGGAGTAAAGCCCTAAATCCTTCAAAAGGGGCAGTTCCAAGAAATCTGCCAATTATCTTATATTTAAAAAAAAAAAAAATCAGGGCAGCCCCGGTGGCTCAGCGGTTTGGCGCCCCCTGCAGCCCGGGGCGTGATCCTGGGGACCCGGGATCGAGTCCCACATCGGGCTCCCCGCACGGAGCCTGCTTCTCCCTCTGCCTGTGTCTCTGCCTCTCTCTGTCTCTCTCATGAATAAATAAAATCTTAAAAAAAAAAAATCTGGGTGCCTGGGTGGCTCAATCCACTATTTGCCTGCCTTTGGCTTAGGTGGTGCTTCCGGGCCTGGGATGGGCCCCCATGGGGCTCCCTGCTCAGCGAGGAGTCTGCTGGTCCCTCTGTGGCCCCCCCCTCCACCGTGTGCACTCTCTCACGGCCTCTAAAATAAATAAAATCTTTAAAGAATAAATAAAATCTGCGTCATGGTTTCATAAAGGTAGTCTTTTTAATAACACTTTAATTTCCCTAAAATTTTCCTAGAAAAATGTATGTGCCGTAGAATTTCTGTGGTTTCCAATGATCAGACCTCTTATCTTCAGGGGTGTTAGGTATCCCATTTTGAGAAGCACAGGACTAGGTTTCCTAGTTGCCATTCAGAGGCAAAGCACTGATTTATGCTCTTCCGCATGGCAAGGAATACATCCGTACATCCTTACTAGGCTGCAAGAAAAAAATACAGACTTCACTGCGAAAGAGCATAGCACTATAGACATACAGACATCCACACGATAATAGACAACATTATGGGCAATTTTATGCCAACGAATTTGACACTGAGGATGAGATGGACAAATTCTTTGAGACATACATCAAAACTGAAACAGGATGAAACTTTACTAATAAAGAAATGGGAGTTTGTTCAACAAACTTCCCACAAAGATAATTCCAGGCCCAGATGGTTTTAGCGGTCGAATTTATCAACCGCTTAAGAAATAACACCAATCTTGCACAATTTTTGTTCAGAAAATAGAAAGGGAAACATTTACCCTCTTATTTGGGACCAGCATGACACTGATAACAAACCTGAAATAGATACTACCAAAAAAGAATTTATACATCATTATCCACATGAACCTAGAAACACTATGTTTAATGAAACATCAGCAAACCAAATCCAGTAAATTAGGTTTTGATCAAGTTTGGTTTATTCTAGGAATGCAATATAGATTTAACATTTGAAAAGCAATTACTGTTATCCACCATATTAAAAAAACCTTTGTGATAATCCCAATAGATGCAGAAAAAAGCACTTAAATTCCACATGTATTAATGACAAGAACTCTTAGAAAATTAAGACTAGGAGACTTCCTTAATCTAGTAAAGGGCATCTATGAAAAATGTACAGCTACTATCATACTTGATGATAAAATATTGGCTACTTTTCCTCTAATATCAGAAACAAAGATGCCCAGTCTCATGACTTATTTTCAAAATTTTACTGTAGTTCATAGCCATTAACATGAGAAAAAGAAATAAAAGATGTAATAATCAGGAAAGACATAACAGTTTTTTCAGGTGACACAATGGTTTGCATAGGAATCCACAAAACTACTAGAGTAAGTGGATCTAGCAAGGTCTTAGGATTCAAGGTGGCAGAGAAGTAGGAGTAAAGCTCACTATTTGCCTGCCTTTGGCTTAGGTCATGATCCCAGGGTCCTAGGAGCCAGCCAGGCATCCTGAAGCCCACTCCTCTGCCACACAATAATTTTAAAATAAATGTATTTTTATTCAGTGGCAGCAGATACTAGTTTTAATTTTAATAATAGCTTAAAGGTGTAGAGACATATAGGTTAGAATATAACTTATCATATTTGTAATAAATGTAACAGAAGAAGTTATATGGTTAGCAAACAATCATGTCAAGACACTCACATCGTCAGTTACTAGGGAAATACAAATTGAAACCACAGAGAGATGCCATCACATACTAATTAGAATGCTTCAATCAAAAGCCTGGTAGTATCAAGTGCTGCTGACAATGTGGATCAATTGGAACTCATACACTGTTGGTAAGAATACAAACTGCTACAACCACTCCAGAAAAGTTTGGCAGTTTCTGATAAAGTTGTGTCTCCTCTTAATATACGACCCACCAATCCTACTCCTTGAGATTTACCTGAGAAAAACGAAGACCTATGCTCACATTTAAAAATGTGTGGGGGCACCTGGGGAGCTTGGTCAGTTAAGATCTGACTCTTGATCTCAACTCAAGTCTTGATCTCAGGGTTCTGAGTTCAAGTCCCATGTTGGGCTGCATGCTGGACATGGAGCCTACTTTAAATATATATATATATATATATATATATTTATATATACATACATTTATATATGTATCTATAAATGGCTCTAGTAGCCTTACTGATAATCATCTAAACTTGGAAATAAGCCAAATTTCCACCAACAGATAAATGGATAAGTAAACTGTGGTACATCCATACAAAGAAATATCACTTACCAATATAAAAGAGTTAACTCCTGATATATATATATATATATATTAAAGAAAGCCATACTCAGGAGGCTACATAATGATTCTCTTTATAGGACATTCTGGAAAAGACAAAATTATAGAGACAGAAAGTAGCCCAGTTGCTGCAAGGACTGCAGATGGAGGCTCACTACAAAGTGGCATAAGTGAACTTTGGAGGGTGATGGAATGGTTCTACTATATCTTGGTGGTGGTTGAGTGCATGCCTGTGTTGTCAGTCAAAACACATGATCAATATACTAAAAAGAATAAACTTTCCTGTATGTAAATTATACCTGAAAAAAAACCTGACAAAACTATTTTCTTTCTATATATTAGCCAAAAATTAGAACATGAAAGTTAAAAATATGTATTTTAAAAGGCTCTCAAGAAATGCTTATTCAAATAAATTCAACTACAAAAGTCCTTCAATATGAAGGTAGAATAAAGAACTTTGAGGCCATTAAACTAAAGTGGAAAAGAACTAGCAAACAGAATGCCCCTCAACCTCCCACCCTAGGACGATGGTGAGGACAACCAAAGTAATCCAAAAGTCCTGGCTGCTGCACACAAGAAGTTTACTATTATCTCTTAGTATAGACCCATCCTGAGGGAAATACAATTTTACCAGCAAAGGAACTGACATTTATCACTTGGAACTCCTAAAAGAAATATTCTTACTGTGTATTCTCTATCCCCAAGTAAATACAAACAGAGGAGACTGTTAGGGTAGGGCAAGTTTCCATTATGCTATAGAAACACCACAGCCATGAGTATTCCTCTGTAGTTAGAAGGCAACATATTATTAAAAAGTAAAGAAAATGAAATAAAAACCATTAAGAATTATTTATTGTTCAAACCTCAGTTCTTGGTTATCAATGCTGGTTTGAAAAGCCCATTAATGTTGGTTGGTATACATTTCAGTGCTGGTTAAAGATTCCCTCAGGAGTGGATGGCTTTCAGCTTTCTTCATAGTGAATCAGATTTTTTATTCCTGTTTATACGTCCAGTAGCCAAAATGTGGCTCTCAAATGTTCAGTTTTCTCTGTTCACCCAGGTTTTCACTGTGTTCTTTTAAAACTGCATCAGAGAGAAGTAACAGAGTATGTGAAATGGTTGTGAATGCAATGCTGTTTCCATTCATTGATCCATCCAATGTTTGTTTAGTGTCTACTATGTGCCAATGACATGCGTGAACGCTCATCTGTAATGATAAGGTTGCATAGTAATTTATACTATGTTTAGACCCGTGCCAAGTATTGTATTCTTATTGATCATCAGCAACATGCAATGCGGTATTTTCCAACGAGAAAACATAGGCACAGAGAGGTGAATCTGTCTAAGGTCACAGAGGAAGTGAGGAGCACAAATAGAATTCAACTCAGCCATTCTGACTTGGAATCACTAGTGTACTCTGATGAAGCTGAAGAAGCAGCCAGGACCAGATCATGCAGGGCTGGGCACTTCACATAGGGATATTTGAACTTCATTTTAATGGTAATAGGAAGACTTTAAAAGTTTTTTAAGCTGGTCAAAAATCTACTGTAATTTTCATGTGACTAGTCTGGTTGCAGCATAGAAAACAGGTTGGAAGGGCCTGGCACAAAAACTTATGGTCTCCCAGCTCTGGAGGTCATAAATCTAAAATGAGTCCACAGGGCTGCATTCCTTCTGGAGGCACTTGGGAAGAATCTATGTTTGTTTTGTTTTGGGTCCTTTCCAGATTCTAGGGTTTCCTTCTCTCCATCCTCAAAGCCAGCAACAAAACCTTTCTTCTCTGACCTCCCCACTACCTCCTTATATGGATCTTTGTGATTACATTGAGCATGCTGGATAATCCAGGTAACCATTGAAAGATCCTCACCTTAATCACATCTCC